GGACAGATCACTTTAAAATAAAACCCTTTTTGTGTAATCCATTAACCCATTAAGCTATGAATCCATGAATGGATTAATCTATCCATGAAGGCAGAGCTATCATGACCCAATCACCTCCCAATCACCTCATTAACATATGAATTAGGAGATTAAGTTTCCAACACCTGAACTTGCAGAGATACAATTACAGCACACACCACTGCAGGGAATAGGGAAGAATGGACACAGAATGACAGGAGAGCTAACAGTAAGTCAGAGGGGCTATCACAAAGATGGGAGACTATCATAAAGAGGGGCTATGATAAAGATGTATCACATACATAAAGATGTATGTGAGGCCCCAAGATCACGGAGAATGTCATGAGAGACTTCAGTTCCATACAAGGAAGAACTAACAACTTTCTGCTTACCTTTGTGCTTCCCCAGTGACTTGCACATTTAATTTAGCCTGAATACTTTCCACACAGTAGTTGCTTCTTAATATGTCTCATTCAGAATTCAAAGAAGAGATATTTCCCAAGAATTGACAATGAGGAGCCAATAAATGCCTCTGGCATTCATGGAATTCCCACAAAGTGCTGTGAAATGAGAACATCATATAAAAACAGAATCTCACTCTCTAGTGAGACCACTTAGAAGTGCCAAACAACTCACCGTTCGTTTCTTTAGACCATTCTCCACTGATGGAGCAGGAAGTTTCATTCCATCTGGATATACTGTAAAGTGGAAATGTAACAGAGAGGGAGTGGGGTGCAGAAAGAGCTTTTGTCTCAAAGAAAAATAAGTTGCCAATAATTCTTAAAATAATGCTTCCATTTTATTTAACAGGATGACTCCAAATGTACACTTTTGGTTTATGAACACAGTGTAAAATATTTATTTCCACCTTCATTTAACCCAATCACTAAATAAGTTTGGACATGAATAATGAACTTGCTTTACCCAAGAATGTGACTGTGCTTCACAGGTGATTTAGTGTGTCCTGGGTATCAAGTGACTTTCCCACATGCATGGAAGCCCCTTATGTGAGCGCTAGCATGTTGGTTCCCCCAACACAGTCAGGCCAGGCTCTCAGAAAAACTAGCGTGTGTGTGTGTGTGTGTGTGTGTGTGTGTGTGAATGTGTGCAATAGAAACAATGCTGATGTCACAAATGGTCATTCCTTCATGGGATTACTAATTTATGAAAACATTTCCACATGCAGAAGCATCCTTTTTTGCTACTCTTGTACAGTATCATCTACTCACCTTAAATTTTATGAGTGAACTCAAATGTCCTTGCTTGGGGACAAGGAAATACATCATCACTATGCATGAGCTTACAGAACTATAGAGGATGCAGTTCTACCCACAATGACTATGAAAGGCCTACAGTCCTTAAAAAAGGTAACGTCCCTTCTGTGACAGGTAAGTAACAAGTTGTTTTTCCAAAAACACTGCAGAGCTTTGTAAATCCAGTAAGAAATACTATGTAAAATTTCCCCATATGAATATATCTTTTACTTGAAGAATATAAATTATAAAGAATACTGAAACATTTCATAACAGTTTTGCAGTTTTTTTAACATTAATTTCCCAGACCAAATATTATACACTGAAAAACAATTTGGCACTTTGAGGCTGACATTTTGAGAAATCAATAAATTAGTATTTCTGACATTTATAGAATATTGTAATTGTACAAGTGGATTTATCAATTGGGTCTTTGGTGGCTCCGGTAAGGGAATGGGTACATTCAGAGAGGAAGCATCTGCCTTGGTGGATCCAAGTAAATGTCATCTCCGTTCATTGAGCAGTCATCATATTCCCTTATAGCCAGATAAAATCTGCCTCTCATGGTAAAATGACAATGTCAGCTTATGGAATGACATGACATTTATTGATTAAATATTTTATGGTACAGCTACACTTCAGTTAAAATTTCTATTTACAAATTAGTAAGTATACAAAAGGACTCACAGCATGCCTACGAGACACAAATACACAATGTTACGATAAGTTAATGGCCAGATTCTTTAAAATAACAGGACATTTTGATGCAAAAATAAGAAATGAAAATACAGGCCATCGATTCTAAGGGAGCCATGCTCAGGGGGAAAGGGTATGATTTGAAATGCACGGATTATTCTGTCCAAGAGGGACTCACAAACATAAAAATAAAATATCTGATATTCTACACTATATTACAAAAATAAATATATTAATCAATAAATAGTAGGAAGCCTAGACTATTTTGATTGTAAGTTGTCCAATGCTGCAATTTTCCCCAGGAATCTTAGGTTTATTAACCTCAGTGATGATAATCCTGCCATGAAGGTGTAAAAAAGAAAAGTCTGTGTGGAGCATCGTGGAAGATCTATGACCAAGGGTACATTATTAGAAAGTTCTCCTTTCCTAAGCATCGACACTTCCATGGCTACATGGTAATGCAGTGAAGCAGAAGAGTTGCAGATGTACTATCCAGAGCAGAGAGAATGCTTCTATTTATGGTTTTTGTCATTTCACTGTTTGATAAGAAGAAAGCAAAAGATAATTAATAATGCAACCAACAACACTTGAATGACGAAAATGTGACTTTCGGCACCCATTTCTAAAGGGAAGAACATCAGAGAAACACAGGCAGATATCTGGGCTGTGGTAAAGAGAGAGACATCTGGGATATGTGTAGCCTAATTGCAGACAGCCTAGATTTTCACCTCTCTTCAACAGCAGAGTGATTACAAGGTTTCTCCAGCAGCCTGGTAGAGCCAGCAGTGGGCACAGTGGGAAGCAAGAGCTGGCAAGTCTAGTATCAGCAAGTTAATGTAAGCAGTGTTAGGGGTGTAAAAAAGAGCTCCCAAGAGTTGACTGTTAAGCTTTCAGGAAGTTTGCAAGCCAATTGGAAAAAACCATGGTGGGAGAATTTACACCATAGAAATAAATAGAGCAGGGCTCCATCCCACTCTGGATGGCTGGTTATGAAGCATTTATGAGCACACCACTGTCTTATAAATATATTAGACATAAAATAAATAAAATTTACCAGAAAAACTATCCTGTTTAGCTGAGAATTTACTGTATATCTATTCTAGTGTCCTTTTGAAAGGATAAGTACCGTGGAGTATACGTGTAGGCATGGTGTACCATCGAGTATAAAGGATGCACATGTACCATCTTGCACTCAGGGCACTAAGTGTGGCTACCCAAAGCCAGCTACATGGTCACATACACATGCATGTGCTTACCCATATTACATTACATGGAGTTTAGCCCATAAATGAATGATTCTGAGTTGCACAGTCATCTCAAATTATCCCTCAGTATATTCCCACTGATGGTTGAAATATCACTCTTCCAGGGGCAATGAATTCCCCTTCTGGGCATATAGATGTGTAGATCTGAGATCCAAATTGGCAAAGCGGACTTCAAAGCAGCTTTCTTTGCCTCTATTATCTTGGGAAATATGAGTTTATAACCATAAGAGTTGGGTGAAACAGAAGCTGATAGTTTCTCAGGGTAAAAAAAGAAAAATGCAAGAATTCTTAAGGAAGCATTCAACAGGGGTTAGGGCTGGAGGCGATGTACTGGAAACCACTTTCCTGATTCTAGTGTGAATCATCTGTGTCACCTGCCTGAAGATGCCTGGATGGCTTGGGACCTGCTCTTTTTGCTCTAGCTCCTCCTGTATGGAGCCCATTATCCCAAAAGAAGCACTAAGACTGCAGTCAGAATCTCAATGTCCTTTCAACCTATTGACTTCTGGGAAGACCCATTCCTGTCAAGGGCACTGCTCAATCCCTCATCCCTGGCCAATTCCAAACCAGGAAGAGAGCAGAATGGGAAATGCTACAAGGTTTCTATCATGGAGCAAATCTGATTCCAAATTCCAGTTTAACTTTGAAGTCATTTTCTCATCATTAATTCATGAAGTCAAATATATTTATTTAGACTCTGGCCTTCTTTTTCTTATACTTAATATTGTTCCTGAAATAAATAGTGTCATAAAGGATATTTTTTTACTCGAATCAAATTAAATATTGGGGGAAAATCTAGAAATCAGGTCACTAACTCTTTTCATCCTGAGAGCAAGTGCTTTCAGGTGTCCCCTTCTAGACATAGCATGAGTAATGAAGGCCAATGAAGACAGGGGACACAGGAAAATGGGACAAGGACATGAGGCATAAGGATGAAGATGCACAAAGAAGGAAGATGATGGAAAAAGGCAAAAGCAGAAGTGCAGAGGCAAGAGAAAAAATGTGAAAAGAGTCCGACAAACAGGTCCCTTCTGACTTTCCTCCTCTTGGACTTTAATTCTCACTCTAGAACTGCTTATGATTTTACAAACACACCTGAGGATAGCATCTATATCCTTTCCCTTTCTTTCTCTTCCATTTCTCCTACTCTCTGAAGCAATAAAGGCCAACACTCTTGGCCTTGTTTCCTGTTGTCTAAAAGACAGAGCTCATCCTGAAATCCCTGCTGTCTTCCTTTCTTGACCAGGCACTGCCCCCTAGAGTGCATGGTTCCTTTGGGCTCATTCTTTGTCATTGGACCACTGCTTCTCTAATCTGTTTGGTTTCTTTATCTAACAACCCCTCCTAAGCATGCAGCCTCATTCACCAGGCCTTCTGCTCTAAGCCAAACAGAAACCCGAATAACAAAACTATACCTACATTTCCAGAGCATTTGGGGTGGTTAAATTCTGGATATAGATTTTCTTGATCTAAATCCTATTCAGAGAAGTGGTGACCAAAAACATACCATTGGACTTTAATGGACACATTTGAGTGAGTCATGCATGTACACGCATATAATCTGCTTCTATTGAACCAAAGATGCTCATAAGTTCATGTATGTGTACATATACATACACAAATATGTGTGTTGACACTGTATTTTGCTGTTCCTAAGTTGACGTTGAAAATAAGTAGTGCGGGCCAGCCATTTGCTGTTAGAGGTGGCATTGCCAGGAAATGACAAGTCCAAAGAAAAACAGGCTGGGAGAGACTAGATTGTATAGACAAATTGCATTTCCTACAACAAATCTTTCTTTCCATTTCTCTAAGGTGGCAAGCCTCTATTATCTGTACACTCTTATTAAATATTTTCATTAAATAGAACACAAAATATACACATTTACAGTTATTAAATAAGCTATGGAACTCGCCTATCTACAGCCACATTCAGAGACCGCCATTCCTTCATATTTAAACTTGTAGGTAACAACGCCTTTGTCTAAATAGAGGATGGAGATAGGGTCTAGCTTCGTGGGCACACAGCAAGCTTTGGAAGCTTTCTGGGAGTTCTTGAGGTGGACCAAGGCCTGGATAATCGCATGCTTTGTAGGTGTGAGATGCTCTGCCAGGGGGTAGTTACAAACACCACGACATTCATAGGCTTCATATCCAGGTGGAGCAATGATCCAGGAGTCCCAGCCAATCTCTTTGAAGTCAATGTACAGTGGGGTCCTCTTGCAGTAGTTTCCTTTGGCATTCCTTCTGATTCGGGCAGTGGAGTCATAGATGATGTTCGACCTCATCTGCAACAAAGCCTCTTCCCCTGGTCCACTAGAATAGCCATCCATGCCCAAGCTGTCCAGCTCCAGAAGTTGCTCATGAGCAATCATTTCATTCAGTTCCTCTTTCTGCTCTTTGTCACTACTTTGGTCATCAGAAAACACAATAAGCAAAGGGTCATGCTTATTCTGGGCACTGGTGTCTATTTCCAGTTGTCCCCTTCCAGCATCCTCAGCTTGGTCCTGTCTGCTCTCAATGTGGACCTCCAGCTGATGGGTAGACGAGCCTGACTTTTGCCAACGTCTGATGGCATCTGTGACATCAAATGTCTCCCACTCACTGTTGAGTCCATAGATCTCGCCTGACACTAAGACCAACATGTTTCTTTCACCGTCGTTATCCCCTCCACTCTCTAGAACCTCAAAAATGGTTATTTTTCTGTCTACTCCATCATATAGCATGCGGTCTCTTTGCACCAGGGTGTATAACCTGAGTTCAGCAATGATGACCTCTTCATGGTGAGGGATGGACACATTGAAGAGGAGAGGGTATTTTCGGAGCCCATTAAAACCGACTGGTTGAGAAAACAGATCTGAAAAAAATAAGAGATTTGCAAAAATCAGACGTATAGTATCTCATAGAAAGATGGGGGCTTATTTATATAGCAAGAGGGCTTGTCCATGCAGGAAGCTTGACAGAGTGAATAAGACCACAGGATCGATGAAAACAAACACATGCTGTGACATGGAAAATACTAAACAGTCAACGGTAGAATGCTAAACTAAGGTAAGATCACACAACTAACATGGAAAATAGCTGCCAGATAAATGGGAGAAAATTCTCCCAGCCTTGACTGAGTGGCTTACCTGCCTAAGAGGCACAGAACTGGAAGAGACCGTTGAGATCGTGTAAAAGAGCCTACTATGTTTATAACCAGTAAAGAACCATCAAATGGAACAGGTGGTGATTGTTCTTAAATTTTTCATGGACAAGAACTTCACAACTTTTCATATTTGTGTATGTTATGGTAGAGACCCCCACGTGATTAGATACTGGTCATCATGAAAGACCTTCATTTAGACAAGGGGTTGGTACATTATGGTCCATGGTCCAAATTGGGCTTGCCACCTATTTCCAAAAATAAAGTTTTATTGAAACAGAGTCCCACCCCTATACTTCTTTATTGTCTCTAGCTACTTTTACACTACAGTTGCAGAGTTACATAGTTGCAACAGGGAACATTCAGCCTTCAAAGTATAAAATATTCACTATCTGTCAGGCCCTTTACAGAGAAAGTTTGCTGAGCCTGGCTCTACAGCAAAGCCCAACAAGGTCAATTCAACAGTCATAAACCAAGGGGTCATGGCAGTTGATTTTGGATGTGTGGGCCCCTAGAAGGAGGAGTGGGAGAAAATGAGTCTTGGGGATAGGCTGATTACCTTAGCCTTGTACCTCTAGCACCTAGTAAGGAGTTTGACATATACAAATCACTCAAAAATTTATGTAAAGTAACTTATTAAATGTCCTTTAGTCTTAAAAGCATGCCTCAAAATACTATCATGTAGAATTCTTAGCTGAGAATTTCATAGTGCTTCCCAAAGCCCCTGTGTACTTGCTTCAGATTGTTAAAGGATTCCATAACACCAAAGACACTAAGGATCACCGGTTAAGGAGTTGTCTGTCATTGGCAGCATTTCTCCAATTGTACACCCAATTCATGATTTTAGTGGGAACCCTCTTCCAGATTATACTTTTAAAATATTTTTTAGATTTATCTGATTATTTTTAACTTGCTGTCTCTTAAAAGAGCTTAAAGGCTTGTCCTTGAGATGATAGCTATGTACAATTTTTAAAGTCACCTTAATAAAAATATATGACTTCACATACTTCACAGCCTCTTCCAGGCACCACCCAAAACCATCTTGCACACTGTCAGCAGGAAATCTTGACCAACCTATGGACTAAATTTAAACTCACTGGCATGGCTCTCAAGACCAACCATAACCAAGTCTTCACATCTTGACCCAGTCAAAGCTCCCACTAATCCTCTACAGTGCTGGGAGCACTGCAGTTGTTCAATTAACATTTGTTGACCAACTGAATGAATGTATAAACCCTCCTTTTTGGTGACTGATATCTTCACTACTTGCAAAAACACCCCTTCTTTTTGGACTTTGTATCTTTTAAGATGCCCACCTGACCTATAGAAAGAAAGCCCTCTTGCCTCACCTCCATTCTCCATCTCTGGCCTCTCCCTATGAGGCCCTACCTTCCTCAAGTCTCTATCTGAAAGTTTATTCCATTGTAAGTCCCTTGTGCACTTGCTCTCCATGTCTCTCCTTTGACTTTTGTCACATACATTTGTGAATTCAGTTGCCTTTTTCTTTCTTTGTTGATGGTAAAAGAGTTTGAACTCAGGGATTTGCGCTTGCTAAACAGGTGATCTACTGCTTGAGTCATGCCTCCAGCTCTTCACAAAAAGTTGCCTTTTTGTGAATGAATCTTCCCAACTAGATTTTCAGTGGCCCCAAATCCCTGCTGTATCTCTATCCTACCATGAAGCCTTAAACAGAGATGATACCTTAAAACTATTCATTAGTTGGTGGTTCTAGGCACCAGGCCAATTGATTTATGGGCATGGCATATGTCCTTAAAACATCATCAAGCTTTTGGGTAAGAAGCAGAAGTATCTTGGGAGTTTTCCCCAGTACAAGAATGGAAGACCCACCTTCCTTTGGATGGGGCATACGAGAAGACCAAAAATGGGAGAATAGGCTGGTTGTTTCCTCCATGAGAAAAGTGCAGACTAAAAGCTCAACATAGTGGAAGAAGTGGTTACAAAGTCAACCAAGGAAATTTGGTGAGGGAGGAGGTCATGGATATGTACACTATTTAGATCATGGTGTTGATTTCAATGGGTGTTTGCATATGATAAAAAAGATCAAATTAATTACACACTTTCAAACTAAGCAGATTTCTGTATGTCATTTATATTTCAATAAAGTTATTTTTAAAAAATCAACTCTTCCAGGTCAGCCTGAGCTACACAGTGATTTCCAGGCCAGGCTGAGATACATAGCCAGACTCTGTCTCAAAAGTAAATAAATAAACTCTGCAGTTCTTTGCACACACAGTGAATCATGGAAGAGTTACATCTCGGAGCAAAAAAACTAATATTCTTGACAAATTCCATGAACCAGGTGCTTTGTAAATGTGGTCTTACGTGTGGTTCTGACAATGACCTCATCATGCATATACTGATTCTTGTTCATTTTGCACCAGAACAAATGAAACCTTGATACAGAGAACTGACTTCCCAGAGGACAAAGGGAGGATGGAGTGGAGTTGAGCATTGAAGGCATGCTTTTCCCACCATAGACATGGCCTTTGTTTACTACAAATGAGTTAAGCTTTGTTCTTTGTTTCTTTAGGAAGTTGCACTGAGCAGACCCAAAGGGTCAGAGGAAAGATAACAGCAGCAAACAGGGTGAGCCCAGTAAGGGCATGCATGCCCTTGACCAGAGGTGCAAGTGCTGGGTGTCCCCTGAGAGTCTACTCCTACCGCCATGGATCTCCAGTGATGACAAGCTGGGTCAGCTCCACACCCTGACCTTGGTCACTCAGCTCCTCCACAGCAGAAGTGAGAATGGATGGGAAGTGCTCCTACTTTCCCAGGAGTTACAAGACACATTTTCCCATCCACACAAGGAGCTAGACACAGAGAGCTCCGTGCTGAGAAGCATTGGGTGGGGTGGGGGTGGAGGGCTTCCAGCAGAGGGAAGATGTTCACTTTCGACTCAGATTTGCCTCCAAAAGAAATCAGTAATCTTCACTTGCTGCTTCCATTAGAAATATATTACTAAGTGGAAATGTGGGTAGTCATTTGAATTTTAGAAGCAAATGACATCTTGGAGCCTAAGGAATACCTACTCAACATTTACTCCAATGTCTAGAATATTAAGTAACTCATCAATAACCAGTAAAGTTTGTTCAGCACTTCATAGTAAATGGAATCCTTTCCTATCTGTCCTCTTTTATGATTCCCTCAACTGTGTTATGTCAATATGTCAATGTTATTCCCACTTTACAAACAAAGACATTGAGGCTCAGATTATTTAAGCTAATTATCCACAGCTACCCAAGTCAGTCAACTAAATCTCAAAATTGCAAATCCTGAGCTATTTCTTTGCCACTGTCTTTCTGCTTTCAAGAACATCTGGCCAATGTTGGATCAAAACCTCTTTTATATCTGTTTAATGACTAACAAAAGCATAACTGGTAAATATTAAAGAATTAGTTTCTTTGGACCCATAGCCTCTACCATAGATAATAGATTTTTTTCTCCTACTAGCCCAATATTAAACAAAAGATTAGCTTGTCAGCTCATTAGTTGCTAACTCTAGTTCCTGAATTTAAATGTGCTTTTCATAAAGGTGTAGAAGTGACCAACTGGATCATTTATGAGGTCATACACACTTCCTAGAAACTGTACACAGTGTGCAAGTGTGCACCTGACACATCGAACACAGTACCACCTTAGGAAGAATCTTCAAAATACAAGTCTCTATGTTGTCTCAACATTTCTTAAATGAAGTCACAAAATGGAAACTCACCCAGAGTTGGAACAGACTACAATTCTCCACTTTCTGACTTTTCTACTGTTCTCACCATTTTCATTCTAAGTAAAAGCTGACAGATTTTTGTAGCCAGTTAAAACTAAATGGAAATTGAGGCCAACAGGAAAATGGCAAAGATATAGCAGCAGACCAATATTAAATCTTTGTATTTATTACTTGGTGTCCAAATTAAAACTTTTAAAAGACCGCATTATCATGTCCAAATGAGAGGCATCTTGTGGCTTTATGCTAAGTAACTTTTGGGGTTCTGAAAGAACCATCTCAATGGTGGAGAATAAATGTGCACTGTTTCTGTGTGTCTTGTGTGCACACAGTCTCATACAGACGCATTCACCCTCCTTCGTATAAATCCCCATGCGTTATAAATTTACTTATCGTTTCTTGAGAAAAATCCAAGCCAGGGCTTAGCAGTAGAAATGCAGACTTACCTTCATTCTTGAAGCTCCTGATAATGTTGGCAGAGGGCACGGAGGTCCGATCCGTGGCAAATTTGTTGTAGAGTTCCAACATGTATTCTGGTGGGTCAACCTTGGCTGAATCCTGCATAGGGATGTCAGACAGGTTCAATGTCTTGAGAAACTCATCCTTCATGCTCTGCAGCAGGGTGGTAAAGTCCATACCGTCTTGCTCTGAGAAGACATCTTCAAAGAGGGGCATATCTTCTTCCAGAGGTGACTGCTCAAGGCCCATGATGGGGCTGCCACAAACTGAGTGAGCCAACAGGCAAAAGACAGCGCTGAGCCTCAAGACAAGAGAACCCATGACTCCGCTCAAGCCCCCAGGCAAGCCCAGGCAGGTTTAGCTCTCCTGAGCTCTAAGTGGCAGTTTTATCTTGTGGAGCGTAAATGTCTCGTGTCACTGGAGACAAGTTTGGAAACTCTTCCTCTCTCTCCCCCTCCCCCGCCATCTTCCTCTCCCCCCCACCAAAAGTCAGGTTGCAGTAATTGGATAACAAAATCCCCTATAGGGGCCTAGCCTTTCTTATCTCCCTAGTGTAAACTTGTCCACCAGATTTTGTTTCTATCTCACAGTCCCTTTTTCTTTTAATGAGCATTTTGTAAACATTTCCACATTCTGACACTGGTTGAGAGATAGGACAATTTTCTTCTTGCGAAGCCTCTACTGTTATTCCTTTCAATTCACTTCCTTTTGGCAGGGATGCCTAAATTCTGCTTCTATGCAGTTCCACCCATGCATATATTAGATAATAAGACTCAACATTATACACATCAGTGGTGATGTATATTAATTCAAATGTTGGGGCTTGTATCCTCAAATAAGCCTTTCTGAAGACAGACCAAATAGCTAATATCTTTAAGTTAAATAGAGAGACATAATTGAACTTCTATACATTTTTTGAAGCATATATTTTTGAAGCATATATTTTCAGAGGCAGGAAAGCATGAGTTTCATGGCCAGTAGCCTTTTTCCTACAAATTTTATCAGGCTAAAATGGTATTTGGAAAATACAGTATGTTGTCAATTGTAACGACTACTGAAGTCTCTTAGGTGCTTCCCACAAACAAGCATTGTATTGAGACCTTTACAACAATCATCTAACATCCCTCTATTAACCCTGGTATTATCTCCACCGTATATATGGACCATGAGGTTCCACAACTTGCAGAAGTCCCTAAGCTAAAAGGGATGGAACCACAGGTTACACCCACCAGTCTGAGTCCTATGAAAGTGAAACAGCCCTACTTTTAAGCACTAGTCCCTTAGATGAGGGTCTGGATAACAAAGCTGAAAGGAGACCAGCCCTGTATCAAACAGTGAGGAGGAAAGTAGCACTTTGCAACCAGATGTGGACTTCAGGTCTTTGCCTGTGCAATTAGTAATATGATCAAACTCTGTGCCAAAGTCATCCCTAAGACTTAGTCATATAGGTCATCAAAAGGCTGCAGCAAAAGCCTGGCAAACTACTTTATTAGGCAAATTAAAAATGCCAAGTGCCTTGATCCAGGGGGTGGGGGAGAGAAACTGATAGAATTAATGTGCATGTCCAGTTTAGGAAAGACAAGTCAGGCTTAATCAACTTGCTACCCTAGTTGGTAGCAGTAACAGCCCTGGTGCAATCACGGATCCTGTGGACACTCTGGAGAATAATTTTCCTGCCGGGGCAGTTATGTCTCTGACTTGGTCACTGCACTCCTTGTGCAACTACTCAGGTGGCCTGATGCTGTGTTCTCAGGACTGAATCTACATATTTGGTACCCTGGAATACTGTCCTAAGCTCTAAGTTAAGTTTTCTACATTTACCCTAAATGGTTAGTTATAATAGCCCCACTTTCCTTACCACCAGGCTCCTCACCATTTCTAGTCACTTTGCAATTCTATCTCCTAACATATAAAATTTTACAGCAATTCTTTTGAGTTACCATGAAAATAATTACATTTTGTTTAGTAGTTGTTAATTGTTATTTGTCTAATAGCTGATGGTTTGAGTCAATATTCTATTTTGGTTAAAGCCTCTGCTTTTATAGTAAAAAGACCATTGTAAACTGGAAAGAGATTGTACCCTGAACAGATCCATGAGTGAGCCTGAAAGCTGTAATGTGTTCTATGGGTGGTACAGTGTAGTGGAAGGTTTCTGACAGCATATCAGCAAGGCTCCCATATCGTGGCCTGATCAGAACAAGCACCCATTTATCTTCACACACACAGAGATGTCAACGCACACTCCAAAACTCTGAATGGCAGGCATGTGCATGCAGCTGCCACAGGACAGCACAGCAAGTGGTGGTACAGATGGCCCCTCGCCACTGGCTTCAAAGGTCAGGAGGACAGCAAGCATCCCATGCTGCCTAATTCTAGTTCTCTAAAAATAAATAAATGAAATTAATGGAGATTTCACTGGCTTCTCTGTACTTGGTGTTAGAGAAATTATAGAGTTTTTATTTCGATCATTTCTCCAACAAATGTATTTTTAGCTGGTTAAAATATAGAATTAGAAAATGACCATAACTACATCTCATTACATTAGCATCTTGAAGTGCTGGGGTGAACGAGGAAGGAGGATGGGCTTCAGGTGCACAGGAGGTGGACATAACCATCCTCCTTCTTCTGGGCCTGGGACTCCTTCCACTTTGGCTACAGTCTCTTCAGCTCATGACTTTCTCTAATGACCCATCTGCCTCTAAAAGTTAAAATATCTCCACATCCTTTCCCTATATTGACTTTTTCTGGACATAGTCTATTTTGTTATTTTCTAACTGAGCTCATTATTCTGAATCTTGTGTGTTTCTGTCCATTCACAGCAGACTGAAGATCACTGTGCTGCTGAGCCAAATACATAGAAGGTATTTTTAGATATTTTAAGAGAACTCACACAGGTAGAAAGAAAATTACCAATCACACACCATGCTTTTCAATCCCACTGCTTTACAAAGGGCCTCTGTTTTACAAAGTTTGGGGCCAGTTTTCAAGGCTACGTCCATAACTGTACAAAATAGAAGGATCTAACATTGAACTTCACTGGAGTCTCAGAGGTATTTGTGATCCAATTCCAACAAGGTTACAACAATTGGACAGCCTCCTAATGAATTCTGGTGTTACTTGTGGATAGTGGTTAGACTGTGAAGAAATTCAATTAGCAAATTTCCTGACTGACAAGAGGTCTTTGAAGTTAGGGGCTTTTGAACACAACTCTAGGTTCTTATACTCTCTCCATTTTGATGCCCACTTCAGGTCACTATATTACTCTTGGCACCTACTCAGAATTTTTCAAGACTTTGGAGTACATCTGGAACAACATGTGATCATAAAATATTTAACAAGACATGTGACAAGTTTTGCCTATTTTAACATATATAGGTTGAATCATGTTATGTGTTTTCTTATATGACTTGCTTTTTTTGCACCAAACAGAAGGTTTTTCAATGCACACATGTGGATGTATAGAGCTGTAGTTCATTGATTTTCATCATTGAATAGTTGTCAATATTATAAATATATGAAGTGTTACCTGCTCATCTTACTGTTGTTATACTGTTGGGTTATTTCTCTTTCATTTTGTTGTTACATACAATACTTCTATGAATAATGTTGTTTTCTATTCAAGATATTTTCTAGGAAGTGCCATCCAATACAAATTCTGTTAGAATGAAAGTGTCCTCTGTCCAAGATGCCTAGTGCTGTAGCCACAGGAACTCCATGTGGACAGTGAGCATTTGGAACATGGCTAGTGTGACTGAAGAATTGAATTTTTAATTTAATTTAATAATTTAGTTAATTTTAATTTCCATTTAAACAGCCACAAGTAGCTAGTAACTACCATTCTGGACAGTTCAGGTCTGGATTAGATTTAATTGGAATAAATGTAGGAATTAAACAAACACAGGTGCTGATAAGGATGAGGAATAATAAGAGCTCTCACCAGGAACAAGAGAATTGGGAAATCCATTTGGGAAAACAGTTCAGCATTGCATGTACCTGTGTTGGTTGACTTTGGGCTGCTGTTGAGCTGGGAGGCTTTCACTCCTGCACCTCTCCCTCACTCAGACCTCTTCCTGAGGTCTGCAACAGTGCATGTAGACAGTCTCTAGACAAAGGGCAAGGTCTGAAGTTGGAAGCAGTGCTTTTAAAGTATTGTGTTGGTGCTACACTCTGTACTAAGTGACTTGAATCCTGGATAGTACGCATCCAGGAGCAAAAAAATTATTGAAGTCTATTCAAACTATATTACAAAGCAATATCAATAAAAACAGCATGGTACTGGCACAAAAACAGACATGAAGACCAGTGGAACAGAATAGAGGACCCGGATATGAAGCCACACAACTATAACCAACGTGTCTTTGACAAAGGCACTAAAAATATATGATGGAGAAAAAGCCTCTTCAACAAAAACTGCTGGGAAACTGGTTAGCGGTCTGCAAAAAACTGAAACTAGATCCATGTTTATTCACCCTATACCAGTATTAACTCAAAATGGATCAAGGACCTTAATATCAGACCCCAAACTCTAAAGTTGGTACAGGGAAGAGTAGGAAATACTTTGGAACTAATAGGTATAGGCAAGAACTTTCTCAATGGAACCCCAGCAGCACAGCAACTAAGAGAAAGTATCAACAAATGGGACTTCATAAAACTGAAAAGCTTCTGTTCAACAAAAGAAATGGTCTCTAAACTGAAGAGACCACCTACAGAGTGGAAGAAAATATTTGCCAGCTACACATCAGACAAAGGACTGATAACCAGAATATAAAGAGAACTCAAAAAAACTAAATTCTCCCAAAATTAATGAACCAATAAAGAAATGGGCAAGAGAGCTAAACAGAACTTTCTCAAAAGAAGAAATTCAAATGGCTAAAAAACACATGAAAAAATGCTCACCATCTCTAGCCATTAAGGAAATGCAAATCAAAACCACACTAAGATTCCACCTCACCCCTGTTAGAATAGCTATCATCAAAAACACCAATAACAACAGGTGTTGGTGAGGATGTGGGGAAAAAGGAATCCTTATACACTGCTGGTGGGAATGCAAACTAGTACAACCACTCTGGAAAAAAATTTGGAGGCTTCTTAAAAATCTAAACATAGACCTGCCATATGATCCAGGAATACCACTCTTGGGGATATACCCAAAGGAATGCAACACAGGTTACTCCAGAGGCACCTGCACACCCATGTTTACTGAAGCACTATTCAAAATAGCCAAGTTATGGAAACAGCCAAGATGCCCCACTATTGAATGGATTAAAAAAATGTGGTATTTATACACAATGGAATACTACTCATCCACGAAGAAGAATGAAATCTTATCATCATCCTGAGTGAGGTTAGCCAGGCCCAGAAGACCAAAAGTCATATGTTCTCCCTCATATGCAGACATTAGATCAAGGGCAAACACAACAAGAGGATTGGACTTTGATCACATGATAAGGCGAGAGCACACAAGGGAGGTATGAGGAA